ATTAGAGTATTTCCGAAATTCCGCACGAAATTGGAATATGAACCACGGCACTCGTGTCCACCAGTGCAGCGATGTGCCGCGAACAATAAAAAGCACCGACTTTGCCCATTTCTGTTTGTGTCTGTGAGTGTGTCACTGTGTCTGTTTATGTGATGTCCCCAACTGTTGCTGCTTATGGCAAGTAAAAAACATATTTCTATATTTCGTAAATAGTTGAATGCCAATGTGTATATATACATACATAGTTATGTTGATTACTGATACCAAATTTTAAATCGACCGAACAACATTTATAACACAAACTTTTCATTTGAAAAAAAAGTGAAGAAATATAAATAATAAATAACAAGAGAGAACGCTACAGTCGAGCAAACCCGACAGTGTAATACCCTGTACCCAGGTAAACTTCCGTCACTGAGTTATATGCGCCCAAAGCAGCAGCAAAAAGAGGAAGAAGAAGAGCGAACTTGTTGCTGCAGTTTGTGGGGGTTGTACTGGCGAGAATTTGTTTCGCTAATAACTCTTCTTAGAATCGACAGAATTGAATAAAATTTTAAACAACAGTAGATATTTATTTATAAATTATGTGTGCAAAGTTTCGTTTAGATAGCATTTGAAATGTGGACGCTATTGACGAAATTCTGCAGCGGGGGAAGGGGGGGGAAAATTAAAAAAAAAAAATAAACTCGTCTTTACTCGGATCTAGGAGAATCTGGATGCCAACTTTGGTTATTCTAGCTTTTATAGTTTCTGAGATCCTCGCGTTCATCCAGACGGACAGACGGACGGACAGACGGACGGACATGTCTAGATCGATTTCTCTCGTCATGCTGATTCAGAATATATATACTTTATGGGGTCGGAGATGCTTCCTTCTGCATGTTACATACTTTGCACAAACCTAATATACCCTTTTTACCCTACGGGTACAGGGTATAATAATAATAATTCAAGCTCCAAGACCAATTTAAAAAAACCGAGTATGCAGTTGTATTTGTATTCTTATATTGATTTTAGAAACCAAGTTTTAATCGGTCGATCTGTTGAAAAATGTGGATTTTTCAAACAAGCTTTGGAGCTCGTTTCCCCCCTTTGGAGCTCGAATTATCAAAAATCCCTTCTTAGTGGATACCTACATTATAATAGGATACTTGAGACCAAATTTCATCTATTACCGTTTGGACTGTGGGCTGTTGACGCGGTTTCCTTCTGTGCCCCAACATTTTTTTCAGGAAAGCTCCCATATTTCAGGCTCCAAGAAAAATTTCATAAAACCAAGTACGCAGTTTTTCTGAATTTTCTGGAATATACAAACTAAGTTTGAAGTTAATCAGATGAAAATTGTAGATTTTTCATACAAACGTTGGAGTCTGTATTCTGTATTCTGTTCGTTGCGAACGGGTACCAGCCTTGATTGATTTGTTTTCAAACACTTCAAGCTCGGTCACTTCGTTTAAGATGACTGGGTCCTGATCGAAGCAAACCAGACTTTGCAAAATGAGCGTTTGATCGAACGAGTATAGTGCCGTTATTGGTCGAGTATTGTTTGGGTATTGCGCGAGCTATACTTGGGTATTACTCGAGTATTGCGCAGGTTTTACCCGAGTATGTCTCGAGTATTGCGCGGGTTTTACTCGAGTATGACCGTATAAAATATGCATGTATGTACATATTTATGTATTTGTGCGTGCATGTGTTGTTTGCAATTATGCGCAAACATGTGTATATGTATGTACGTATTTTAAAGAAAGAGGTACAGAATGAAAAAAAACATATGTATACATATACATATTTATTTTTATATTATGATATTTAGCATGATTTTATTTCTTAAAAAAGGAACTCAAATATCTTAAAATAAACAAATTAATATAAATTTAAATAGCATAACTTTTTTTAATTTAAATAAAAAAGAGGGTATTTCTTTTCGCTAATAGTTTTGTTGGCTTCTTTAATTTATATGCATATACATACTTGTATATGAAGTTACTATTGAACTAATAGCCGAAAAACAATAGAAAATGCAAGTGCACGTGCACCCGCCGATATCATTGGTCATTTCTTGCACGCAGGCAAAAAGTTTCAGTCACCGCCGCTCATTCTGAGTCTTTGCAGTTGTGAGTCGAACTGACTGGTTGGTGAGCGTTTGTTCACAACCGGTCATTGCTTGCATTCATGCAGGAAGTTTCGGTCACAACCGCTCACTTCTGAGTTTTTGCAGATTTGATCCGAACTGAGTGTTCATTGAGGGCTCATTCGCAACCAGTCATTGCTTGTCACTATACCCAAATGAAATAATCATACCGAGTATGGGTAAATACTCGAGTATGACCGAAAATGTAGTACTTGTTGCAGTTCTCTGGTGGGCACCTACACTATGAAAGGATACTTGAGTCCAAATTTCAGCTTCCTAGCTTTTACCATTTGGGCTGTGCGTTGATCCCCAATCAGTCAGTCAGGACAAACTGTTTTATATATATAGATATCCAGCGACATCACAACCTTGAACTACAATTAAAAGGTCTAAATTCCGGGAAACACAACACAGGAAATACCTTGACCCGCAATCATTAATCAAGCAATTGCATTCCTATTTAAAACACAAATGTAAAACAAGTGAAGTGAAAGTCGGACGTCCCAATTTCAGTACGGCTTGTGACAATTGTCCGCTACCAGGACCGGTCCTAAATGCAGCAGTGTCAGCACTAGTCCCTTTAGGAAGGCAGCGCAATACCGGTAGGACATCGACACAAAACAGAATTACGAAAAAATATTGCCTCGTCTTTCGTTGCCCGAACATTAAGCTTTTGTATTCTTTTGCGTTTCCCCTGTCTCCGGTTGCTTTGTCTTGTTCTCACATTTAATTTGCCGCAAAGTGTTGCCTGTGACGCGTGTGTCAATTGCGCAGTGAAAAACAAATATTGTTTTGAAAAGTGCAACATATAAAAAGGTAAGAATGAACTATTTATACAATTAAATGATACACTGTCCAAGAAGAGAACGTACAGAGGACAGGAAAAAAAATAAAGAATTAATTTAAATGTTAATATTTTTACATATTAGTTTAATGTATTATGTAATTAATATGTATTCAATAAACAGAATTATAATAAATAAATTTTCATTTGTGTATGGATTCATCTGTCTGGCAGAACTATACCGGGGTAGTCACGTACCAATCCATTGGGCAGTTCACTCGTTATAAAAGGAACCGGTCCATTTACCAGTCCGATGAAAATTGTCCGCTTCGTATGACATCGTGTGTAAATTCGAAGGGAGGCATGGCATGAAGTTTGGATTAGTGGTGGTGCGCTGCGGACCGGTATTTAGACCGGTATGCCGTACTGCTTGGTCTGTAAGTACATACATACATATGTATGTGTAAAATAATTATGCGTGTCTGTGTACGTCTCGTGTGCCTGTGCAACAACAACAACAGCTGCAAGCAGTGCTTGGGCAAAGATGACATAGCTACAACTTTCTGTTTAATCGGCCTATGTTATGGAGGCATTATGGCATACAGATTCATAATCACTAACTGGAGGGATTTTCTGAATTTTAACGAAAAATCCAAAAATCTCTAATTGCGGGCGAATGGGAGGGAAATTCCGAAGTGCACATTTTTTGCATATCCACATGAGGCCTCTTGGATTAAAATGTACGGTCCCTAGGTCTTATAGCTTCCGAGATATAAGTGATTACACAAACAGAAAATCGGGAATTTTTTTTATAGAGGGACAGTGGAGGGCTCTATCACGCCTTCTTCGGACTGTTACATTTTCCAGCTCGCGCAAACCTAATATGTATACTCTTGTTCATTTTATGTATAGAGTATATAAACAACTTGAGAAGTAAACAAGTTGTAAATAATTGACAATCATAATCTAAAGGCCTTAGTGGCTATAGTTTAAACCAACGTTGGGCGAGAGCGCTTACAAAAGCAAAATAATTGCAGTGGTCACCAGCTAGACGCACAGGCAGATTGCCGCAAATCAAAATACACGCAATACGAGTGCCCTTGCTCGATTTTCAGCAGGATTTACTGCGGACTGATAGTAATAGTCTTACATATTTAAAAATTCGTTCCTAATGCTGGCTGAAACTATAAACTACTTGCAATTTGTTAGTAGAATTGTAACAATAATAATTTTGTCCAAAAAAAGAGACATTGCAATCTCTTCAAATCAATTTCGTGCGATAGGTCCTCGGGCATAATGCTATGTCATCTGTGATTATGTTGTTTCGCTATCCATGCCGATATGTCCTTTATAGCTGTAACAGCGAGTTTTACCTCTTTGAATTAAATCTCATGACGCAATGTGATTATGTTCCATATGTTTTCTGGGTTTCAACGAGAAGCATGATATCGAAGTCAAGAGTACTTGTAAAATTTAATAACTGTCCAATGCAGAACTTTAAGATCTTTAAGTAAAAAAAAACAGTGTTAATAAGTAACCGTCTAAATACATATGTCGCTATAAATAATTATTTTAAATAGCAAATGTACATTTTTGAATAGCATAAATACTATAAGTTTAAAATCAAGTACATAATTTGATTCCTTCGTCACTACATAGATTTGTTCCACCATGATTAGCGATTATAATTGTGACATGGTAAACCAGTCGGAAAACAATCGAATTTCTTATTTTGAAGTCTATCGACAGTTTGACATCACCAACGGGCAGAGCAAGTTTGGTTTTATTTTGTAGTGTTTTATTTAATTCATTTTAAATGTAATCAGCTAACACAGACGGCACATGTAAAAAGCGCTTGTTAGTGCTAAGCGTATACAGTATTTGGTGAGCGAAATGTTCGAATAAGCTTAACATTTACGACGCAAAGTGGAAACTAATAAAATGTCAATTTTGCGTCGTGAGATTGATATATGCGTATGCATATAAATACATACATATGTATGTATGTACATATGTTTGATGTGTGGAATTGCGAATCAAAATCGAACAAAATATTAATGCTTATTCCATGTTCATTTGCAGTTTCAGGAGATTGTACCTGATATGGATGACACTGAATTCATGTTTAACGAGAAACAATCGATTCGCGACTCAGCCCGTACTCTTAAAAAGTATGGTAGCACCTGCTCTAATAACAGATCTAATGAGACCCTAATGCTTATACGACACGAGGTTGAGAAAAATGACACACTTCAGGGTATTGCACTTAAATATAACTGCACGGTAAGTTCTAGAATTAAATAACAATAATTCATTCAATTATCCAAATGCATTTACGGAAACAAATATCGACTGACTAAAATTACAGTTCAGTTATTTTATTTATTTATAAAAGAGAAGGTTAACAATTAATTCTTAAGTTACTTAAATTTGGAGCACTAGCTGCCAGGGCAGGGCTTCCAGCTCGCTTATGTATTATTTTGATCATTTCAGAATATTTGTGAGGAATTCTTTTATTGATTGTATGTTGTCTATTGTTGGTGATCTTAGAGCGGTTTCTGGTGTAATGTTCGGTCTGTAAGGTGTCAGGTTTGGACAGTTAGTAATGATGTGTTGTGCAGTGATGGTGTAGCAGAATTTGCAGATTGGAGGATCCTGTTTCTGGAGTAAATGTCTATGAGAGCAGTATGCCCGAGACGAAGTCGGATAAAAACTCGCATTGGCATAGTTTTGGCTTCAGGTGGGTATGCAGTATATAATCCCGCTGGGTTGTATTTTTTTAGTGGTGAGTAAAATTTGTCCAGTTGGCCAAGTGTTTCAAATTGATGTGGTTGGAGATGAGACGGAAAACGTCGGCTTTCTCTGCTATGCTTATCGGTGGTGATGCATCCAAAGTAGCTAGTTTTTATCAGAAAATTCGTTCCCACGTGTCTTGGGATCCACATAAATTTAATGTTATTTGTTTGAGCCAGAATATCTCGGATTTGGGATATAATTACATATGTGTGAAATTTTGGGATTTTTTCCAATTTTCATTTTTATACTCTGTACATAATACAGCCGACGGCATAAGTATTTTGACATGGAAGTTACCATACGATTTTGTTTATAACTTTTTTAATGGACAAGGAATAATATTGAAATAAATATGGCGTAAAGATATGTTTATTAACTTTCAAATTAATTTGTAAGAGTTTATACAAAGGTACAAATAGTAAAAATAAGTTATATTTCAGAAATGAAAGGTGGCATATGTATTTTGACTTATTTTTTAGTTAGATATAATTAACAAAAGTAAATGGTTAAATATTTTATTATTTACTAGCAGGTCTTGCCCGTCTTTGCTAGCTGGTATTTGTATTTGTAGCAGTATTTGTACAATTATACGTTAATTTACTATATGATATTTCTCTTCCGACACTCTAAATTTCTAAAGAGTTCATTTCCCAAAAAATAATTTACTTTCGAGAGCTAGGACATAAAGTACAATAAATACTATGTATGGTTATATGTGCATACATACATATAAATAAATCAAGGCGAGTAATTTCTAGAATTAAAAGCTGTACAATTTGGCAAAGTTATTTGGTCAACTTATGCAGCTGCACAACATTTAAATGAGCATACACACATGTATATACATATATGATAATTTCTTCTACTCTTTAATGAAAAGTTACAAAAATAAAACGCAGTTTATTCTCTATTCTTTCTCAGAGTAACTACATAAACCAAGTTTAAAGTTAATCGGATTTCTAATTTTCTAAAACCACTTCTTGGTGCTCACCTATACTTTGAAGCTTTTTAACGCTTACCATTTGGGCTTACTGACCCACAATTCTTTTCGTGCACCAATAAAGCCCAAAAAATGGGTTCAAAAAGCAGATATATTATACAAACTATTTTATATACATATGTATATGTATGTACATACATACATGTATATACATGATACATAAAATACATACATATGTATATACACATGCATAAATATAAAGATTGTGACATTGAGGGCTAGTAGTTTCTAGAATTAAACACTTTAAAATTTAACACCGATATACATACAGTCCTCACTTATAAGTGCAACTCGTCTTAAATTCCTCAGCACTCTACACGCATGGTTGAGCTATTCCCGAAACGTGGGACTGAGCCTGTCCCGCGCGGGATATTTAATTATGATTTAAAAATCGGGATGTCCCGCCAAAATCGGGACGTTTGGCAACGCTGTTATGTACATACATACAAATGTACATTTTATTTTTTGATTCAGGCGCGCTATCTATCCTCATATGCATGTACATACATATGTATCTATATGTAAATGTATGTATTCAATTGTACAGTTAAACACTTATCCATATGTGTTTTTTGAATATGAATGTTGTGAGTGTAAAAGGCGTGTTTCTGCTATTGTTAATTGGAAGAATACATTTACAAAATAAGCTTAACGCCTAATGTCTCCCAGAATTCTTCAGAATACATTTGTAGCGTTGTTAGCTGACGCAACCGTTTAACACAAACGGTAAGTCGCTTGTAAATATGCGATCAGCTGAGATGCTAGAGATGGGCATGTGTCGGCTTTTTTCGGTCTGTCACGGCGCGATTGGCTGTAAAAATACACGAATCTGTATGCACGGTGAATGGATACACACATTTTTTTTTGTAAATAATAAATCGGCCACAAGCGTAGAACGATGAGACGATTCTGAGCAATTTTTGGTCGTCAGTCAATTTGTGCGGAACAAACCGTGCACACACCTTTCGTAAGCCCAAATGTTCGGTAAAAATGCGATAAATCGATGTTTTGGAGATGTTCAATTCCATTTCCATCAATTTCAATGATTTCGGTTGATTTTTGATCACGCCCAGTTTCGATGGAATTTTCGGTGATCACGAATTTTGATTGGCCCACATGTTGATCGTCATTTATGTCCTCACGACCACTTTGAAAACGTTGAAAGTGCACTCTGCTACGGGATAGGCAATCATCGCCATAAACTTATTCCATCAATTGAAACGTTTCGGTAAAAGTTTTACCAATTTTAAAACAAAATTTAATGTTGGCTCTTTGTTCGAAGCTCATTTTCGCATCGATAACAGTGTCAGTATGTTTGGCACTTAAAACGCAATAACTTCACATCCAATCGATAAAATGTCATGAAATTCTCACTGGACAATCGATAAAGATAGCAGATTCTAACGCACCAGTCGACATATAGATACCGCCACCAGGGGGCGCTAGATTTCTGTTTACTGTCGAACGCACCTTGTATACAGATTATTAATAGAAAATATATCCTCCCTTAGCAGTTATAACTTTTTGCAGCCGTCTGGGAACCGAATTGATCAAAGTTTGGATATAATCCAACGGAATATTCTTCCAAAGTGCTCCTACCTCAGAAATTGTATCCTCGCGCGTCCTTGTTAAATTTGCACATCGTTTTTGTTTTATATAAGCCCATAGATTTTCAATTATATTTAAATCTGGACTTTTGTGCACAAAACAACCACCAACCGGCTGCCACATCTACCTACACCTACGCTGGATATGCACGCACCGACTCAGCTAGCTGGATACAATACCAAAGCGACGATATATTTTTAGACACTTGGATTAGAAATAATTAGACTTACGCACATTCTCAGTATTGTATATAAACCCCTGCATTTCAATCAATAAACAGAATGAACCACAAGAACACTCGTACACACTCACATTCCCTTTCAGCTCCTCCGACTTACACTTGGTTCAAGTACCGATTGTAAAATACTCAACTACTAGTTTATTACTAGAGGCTAACTCAACAAACAACAACATATTTTTGGTGACCTCGACGTGATCCTTACCACAGGATCACAATCATTGAGGACGCAACTGGAAAGGAAGGTTGGTCAACAAAATTACCAACGTCAACGCAATAAATCGCACCTCTATTGAAGAGAGCTTTGTCAGGCTCAGGCAGCAGTTCTGGTCGTGCTCACAGAAGCCGCAAAAACCTCAACGAGGGACAACTTGGTATTGAACCAAGGAAAAGGTTGGTCAACAAGGTGACCAACATCAACGTAACTCTATTAAAGAGAGCTTCCGTTGGGCAGCAGTTCTGGTCGTGCTCAAAGAAGCCCAAGAAACCTCAACAAGGCAAGGTTGACGCAACAAGGAAACTGTGCCAGCTGAATCTACGTGCTAGAGATTCCGCTATTGGGCAGTTTTCTGAAACCTTGGTATTGCACCAAGGAAACAATTAGTCAACAAGGCGACTGTTGTCGCCTTGTACCCCAGCGACGATATATTTTTAGACACTTGGATTAGACATAATTAGACCTACGCACATTCTCAATTTTGTATATCAATATAGAAATTTCATAGAAATTTGAGGAATAATTCTAGCAACATAGGTGCCATAATCAGCTTCTTCAAGACGCCTGCGTACTGTCTTTTCGCTAATATTAATTTTTGTGTAGTTAGTTAGTTGCATTGCAACAGTCTTAGGTGTTTCTAACGGATTATTCTTAAACTGACGCAGAATAAAACGATCATTCTGTTCTGTTGTCTTACGCAGTCTGCCACAACTTTTATACTTATTTATTTGATAATATACAGTTTGGCGAGATGTATTGTATAATTTACTGGTATTATCTACGGAAATACCAGAGTTATACTTCGCCACCATATCATTTTTAACAAATTCATTTAGTTCTTTTATTTTATCCATTTTAAACCATTGAAGTAAGGAAAATTGTTCTTATCAGCACTTCCAATCAGTTATTCACGATTTACAGCTAAGCTTTAGCTCAATAGCAGATCAATACAGACTAAATAGATAGAATGTCAAAATACTTTTGTCCAGCTCTTATCAGCTCGCGAAGGACAACAAAGCGAAATTAAAAAAACGCATAAAGGAATTGAAAAAAATACTTTACACACTTCTTTATGGTCACATGCAATGTGCTTTGGAAAAGATAAAAGAACCGTTATATATTACAATTCGCCAAAGTAAAACGCAGAAGATGTGTATTTTCATCTCACATAACTCCCATAATTCTTGGAATTTCGAGCTAAATTTGGTAAATACCCCCAGTTTTATGTTTATATTTCATTATAATAGACCGATTTAACAAGAAGTTATAGCCATAAATATAATAGCTGCCCAAGCGCTGCCTGCAGTTGTTGTATTGGGAGTGGATGTTTAGATCGAGTGAAGAGAGAGAATACCTCAGAAAATTGATATTGTATGTGCAACAATCAGTTACATCCAGCTAGTGCTTATGTGTCCGTGTGCCAA